CCCCCTCCCCCAATCATTTGTTAGATATGCATCATCGCTATGGACGCTACCGTATCTCCTTGCGGCGCCGGAGATTAATCCTAAGGGTAGTTACTCATACAAGCTCCCGATACACAGACTACCTGGCATTTATTAGCACAGGTCATTGCTTTAAATCGCTGCCGACATGACGGCGGATATACGTTCTTATAGGCAAAGTTCTTCCGTGACCTATTCATTAAACTATTTATTATAAAAACTGAAAACTGTCAAACTCTTTCCGGTGGATCGTAATAGCCGACTCGCGTTTTATTTATTCGCGTTACGTAAATCGTAAATCCGTAATGTGTTTGCAGGATGCGACGTTTATAAATAATTGACGAAAAAGTCGATAGAGAATGCACGGAGCGGGTAATACCACGCGACAAAGGTATATACCATGCGAGTTAAATTTTCTTCGCGGAGGAACTTCAATTTCAAAGTTCATACGCGCGTGATGTTTATCAAAGATAATTACCGGGCGTGCGAGTGATTTTACATCGCTTGACCTTTATATGCATATTTAAATCTTATTAAACGTAATCTTATTAAACGTAATCGATCCAAGTAATTACATAGCCCGATAATTCACGTTGAAATACCGTTAAATAGGTAGAATATAACCGTCGATACGCGTACACACAGTCGCGGGAACGAGCTAATCGATAAATATTTTTTGGTTACAGCAATTTACTCTTAAATGTTTTACAAGTTGTACGATTTTAAGTTGAGCTCAGCTTGCCTAAACGCAAATATATTTTTCGTAATTTTTCCAAGACTTACAATTTGTATATAATCCCTTTTTTATTCTCTCTGTTGCAGTGAAGAAGGCGCGGTTCGTCTGCGAGGATGGTTCGTATTATGTGGCAAAAAAATGAGGAATGTTACGTCTTACGAAGATGGAAATTTCAGGATTCATTTATTTAGTCGAATTGTTCCCCGGTTGCCCTCAAACTTATATACGAGCGAAATATTACCGCGTGCGTAATCGTGTACTCAAAATTGGGATTGAGACGAGCCGCGAAATCAAAGCTCTTACTCACGCTTTGCTTCTAAAATCCGCAAACAATTTATTGCATCCCGTGCGATTGGAACAGTTCCAAGTTTCAGATTATGTGATTCCTCAAGCAGAATGTCGTGATGTTTCAGTTATACCGAAATAATTTTTCTGTATACGAAGATATAAAGGAACTTTTTGCAAATCTTTTATATCGTATATATAAATCTAAAATAATACTTTGTACGTGTTTCTCTCTTTTATTTACTATAAATTTTATAAATTATTTCACACAGTTGAAAAAAAATATAATATTTTAAAAGTCTGAAAAATTTTTAAAAAGAGTTTGTAAATTGTGTCATAAATCTATTAAATTTATCTCATACGCGCAGCCGATTAATACCTTAATATTGTTCCATATTTTCTACGATGACGAGCGCATAACCTTGGCAACCTTCGCACTTTTGCGTTTATATTGTGCTTTTTTAATATCCAACCACGCGCGTCACGTGCATGCCATTGTACAGAATGGACATATAAAGACCATTATTCCACGCAATGTTGCAAGATTGAAGTAACGATAACGTCTACACTCGCATCGCGAATGTTAAAAGCATCTAGTTTTATGAATTTATTTATTCAATACACCGATCCTGCATTCATTCATATTATGAACAACTCTCTCTTTATGACGAACAAACTTCATCAAAGTTAATAGTACGTTTTCACATTTACGGTAATCCTTTGCGTTTCTCGTTTATAAGAATACGGGTATATATATATATATATCGTCGAGACTTTTATTCTTATCGTGTATACGACGATTCGATTTGTTCCATATCTAGTAGCCTCTCAGGTCAAGAGAGGCTGCGCGTTATTTTCACGTTTCGCTAAGCTCTATTTATGTCGCATCTAATTTTTTATTAATAGCCCGAATTCTCCGTTGGGTTCGGCGTGTGGATGCTACCAAAGTCAGGCATGGAACGCGACCCTTGAACATATTTCGCCGGTCGCTCGGAGACAATTTCGTGGCTCGTAAAGTAAAATGTCGAGGGTGACGCACAACCGTGCCCGAAACATTGTGTCGCGAGTCGTAAAACCTCGCTTCTACTTTTTGCGCGACTTATCGAAGGCGTGCAGTTGAGAGCATGTATAGTAGATGCAATGGGCGGAACTTATTCCAACTTAATAGTATAGTTCTTCCCCGTCCCCTTATTCTCGGACGTATAAACCGTGAAGATGCTATCACAAACATTGCTCTTAAATCACAGACGAAACAATCTCATTCGTTAACATTACACGTTTATAAAAGATCAAAATTACAATAAAAATTCTGTTGAAACGTAATTTACATTTGTTTCACTTAATTTTATTATAGATAATAAATATGATTTATCTTAATTGAGACAGACGCTTTAAACGATAGTCATTGTAATAGATAAATATAACAATACATATTTCGCTTGTATATTGTAAGTAGTAAAAAATCTCCGTTTATTCTAACTAGTTGGCTAAAACATATATTATTGAATGTTCCAAATTCCAGCGGAGCAGTTCAACTCCTACGTAACGTTGAAGTTACAAAATGTAAAGTCAACGACAGTCACTGTGAAAGGGGCCAATCCATGCTGGGAACAAGATTTCCTCTTGTAAGTTCGATAATTAGTCTCACAGAAATGTTTGTTAAATATAAGAATGTAGAGTATGAGAGAGAATTTATGAAAATTTGTATCAAATTGAACGTGTTTTAATTTAAAAATCCTCATACGGTTACTATGGCGTTGCACTCTTCGGAAACATTGCAAACTATCGCGTGCGCACCGGTAGTAAAATATCTAGGACAGCTAGTAATTTGTGCGCATCTAACAGAATCTGAAACTAATCACGGTTTTATTTAACGGGACTCTAACTCGGCGCGGACGAAATCAATCCTGGTCCGTCGCGACCGGTCGCGAATTTTTCGAACGAAGCCAAGAGACGCACAAAAATTTTCCATGAAATTACGAAGAAAGAAACGTGCTTTTTTTTCATAATATGGCATTATTAACCTTTAGCTTGACAAACTCTCTCCTTGTTTGAGATGAGATCTTTGGTCCATTACTGTCCTTGATTTTTTTTTTTTTTTTTTTGATGAGTTATTAAATTGATTACCAGAAGAAGAAAAAGATTTTTAAAATGACGTAAAATTGGCTCGCGGATTAAAAGAGATTGTTTGATGCTCGCTATTCAATGCCGACCATTCCAATATTATGTGAAGATATATTGTTCCTGATCTTGGCTCGCTCGTTTGACGCTAGCAAGTTCTTGGCTATTAAATTTTGAACGTTTAATCTACACTATATAAAAGTTAGAAAAAGCATAGTTGTTTATTTCACAGCGTAACAATTCTCTTTGTGATCTCGCTGAAATTAATGGAACTTTATTTGTTACGCAGCGAAACGAATGACATGAATGCTGGGCTCGTGGTGGAAGTATGGTGCAAGGGATTCTTGTGGGACCGTTTTCTGGGCTACTACTATATCCCACTGTCAGAGGTGTCCTACATGAACGAGGTAACGAGAAATCAGTGCAACTTAAATCATACAGAGGTACAGCAATTTGAACGACACACATCGTTTGATATGCGTGACACCAACAGCAACACACAGCCAGACATCATCACTGACACGGTACACTAACTCTCTCATACATTCGTTTTATACACTAAAATAGTACACCAATACGATTGAAATTAACACATTTGCGCGAATAATTGCCATGTTACTCTGCGTTGTAAGCAACAGCAACAAGTATGATTCACAATAATTCGATACAGCCGAGACACATCTCGTCTCGTCTGCATTTATTTCCCGTAGAGATAAGCCATTAAAAAAAAAAAAAAAAAAAAAAAAAAAAAAGGAAAACCAAAACATTCCGATATTTGAATCGCTAAAAAAAAAAAGAACATCGGACAACGTACGTCGAATAACGAACGATTCTACTCTCTGCATGTAACGATTTTTCGCAGAATCCGCTCACTCTTTCTCCGGGCACGTCCTCGTCAACCTCCTTTTAGAAGCTAGCGTGGCTTCACACGTGAAATGAAATTCGACGAGTGTTTGCTCATCGAAGGGGGACCAAAATCAATTACTATCTAGCGCGTTACGATCATCCGTCGATTTTCGGTGGAATAACCGTCGATCTTCCGTCACGCATCATTCTTCGGTTAATGTCGGTCATCATAGCCCTCTATTACGCTGGTAAATCTCGGACGATTTTTTATCCTTCTTTTTTCTCGCGACGCGCTATAAATCTAAAAGCGAACAGAGGGAAGAGGACCACAAAACGGAGAGAACGTCATGCAATCAATCGACGTCACGTCCGATGCGTGACCGATCGCGAGGGCAATTCAACCGGTATATTATGTTGCGCGCGTACAAATTGAATTTGCGAAAGTGACGCAACGGTGACCATTTTCCACCGATACTGACATCGTTTAATTCGCTGTGTATTTTCACAGACGCAATCACGCGCGAATGTGGAGTACCGTGCGTCAAATATGGTGATTAACAATAGCGAGTAATTTACGTTGCTGATGTGAGCAAGCAGCGCGGTTGCTACAGCAGAGATGGCGATTTACTTTATTCTCTCCCCCTCTCTCTCTCTCTCTCTCTGAGATACATTTACGATGCGCTCATAATTAGCGTGCATAATTAGATATTAATAGTAGCCACGGAGGACCTAATTTCTCTTATCGCCGCTTCCATCGAGCACTCTCTCAGGATCTCGAAACGCAAGTCGTCAGAACTTGGGAATGTCAGTTCGCGTAACACAAATTACATTTTACTTGGCGACTCATACGGCAAATTGATGTGCTTGGATAGATCCTCTCTACTAGAGTGAATGTTTGCGAGATATTCGAACGAGATTAAGGTCCATCCTCTTTTCACTCTTGTACCTTACAATTTACAATATAGCTTTTGAGGTTCTCGAATCGAGATTTTTTTCCTACAATTTCCCTCCCTTTATCCTCTTACCTTCATTTGCGAAACACGCTCGACTACACTTCTGTATGATGATAGAAATGAATTTTCGTTAATTAAATGGTTTAAATGCTTTATCTCAAGGCCGGGATAAAGAAATGCGAGGTATTCACTTATTCGATGAAATCACCCTTTCCCTGGCGAGAATAATAACTCTTTGGAGCGCTCACAGTCATTCTTTTAAATGCGTCTAGACAGGAGTCACTCATGCGCGACCCGGAAACGAAGAAGCAATTCTCCATTTCTTTTGTTCCTTCTTCTTGGTTGTTATTCAGATTCCCGGACAACCGCCCGAGTATCTTAAAGTCAATTTCTCGTTGTTCTTCTTGTGGCAGGACGATCTCATTATCGATCTCATTATCATAAATTGGATAAAAACTTTCTTATACGGAAAAAATTTCAGTTAAAATATGCCATTTTCTACGCATTGTTTTATCAAAATCAGAGTATCTCGACATAATTATGTTCTTAATTTATGGATAGAGATAATTTGTGTGTGGAAAGATATATATATATATATATGTCTAAATATATGTATAAAAAATGTGTGTGGCTAGAAATATAAAATGGCAAACAATGAAAGAAAATAACTAAAGTCAAGTAGACTTGTTTGCTTTTTCTGCACGAAATGCACCTGCAGCATCTTTCGGTGGAGAATCGAACAAACTAAATTAGAGAGTAGAATTATCTTGAATAGGATACAATTTGGTCACGTGTGAGAACTTTGCTTTTAGGTACGTTCGACTACTGGTATAACTTTTCAAGTGTCCCTTTTGCAGAGCTGTTATAAAACTCTTTGTCAGAACTGGTCTGGAAAATTATGGTGGCGCAATCTAAAAGAGCTTTTCTTTTTAACGATCAAAAATTTAGTAGAAAAAAATGCGAAGAGAAGAAAAAAATTTTATCTTTAAAAGAGATAAATCTCTAAAAAATCAATATTGTTAGTTAAAATCTTTTACTTAAAGATTTAAACATTCGCATTTATACGTTTTTTTTTCTTTCGAAAAAGATCGAAATCACAGCGGCATCGTTCCCTATCATCCCCCGTCGTTTTCGACCACGACATTGCCATCACTATAACAGCAATACCCGGAACCTCTTTTGCTCGTGACGTCACTTGGCACGCGGCCAAATCGCGACGCTCAATGAAACGTTTGGGGAAGCCGGATCATCGAGTGGGCGCACGTAGTCGGTCGTAGGTTTACGACGACATTATGCTGCGTGCGCATATGCAAGCGAGTTTTAGAAAAGGCAACGACCTTGACGAAAAATTCATCCGATTTTCGCGTTTTTTCCTCGCTCGAAAGAAACCTGACACGACGACATTTACCCGGCCGATCCTCGGAAAAGAGACTCTCGCCGCGCTAACGATCCCTCATTCACATCCACGATATTTGCGCGGCAATTTTATACACCTTATACCTCGTATCCATTACGTTCTCGCTTCCTCGTGAGCCTGTGAAATATTACATTACTCTTCGGTGCAAGATCAGAAGCTGATGACCGTGTGATCTATGATTCGCGAATGCGCGAATACAAAAGCGATGTCCTTGCCTTTTATTCAGCGACGAAAGAGAGAGAGACGATGCGTCAAGACGTTCTCACAAAGTTCTTTCACTCGGTTTTCCGTTTTAAACGGCACGATTGTGGCAACAATGGGAGAGAATCTACAAATCACACTATAAATCGTCCTTCCACGTTTCTGGACGGGCGATCGACGAACCTTGCGCTCCAAAAGCGCTGACATTCGGCGAAGATAAAGCGCCGATGCGGAAAAGAGAAAAAGAGACGATAAGTGCATGTGCACACGTGTGTAAAAAGGACAGAGAAAGCAAACGCGACGAAGAGACAACACGAGTGCGAAAAGCTATACAGACTCGGTACAGAACGAATGAAAGATGACTAACAAGAGAGATGATGAAGATGATACAAACCGTGATGCTCGATGATGGTGAGAAACGTGGGGAGATACGCGGCGAAATGAAATAAACGAGCCTTCAAGTACCAATGCGCCAGGTCAGATTGCTTTTCCATGTAGCGAGAAGAACAATTTGGGTCATAGCCGTTGCTTAAATTATTCATAAAACAACACGCGAGGTTTATATACGACTTAATAAGCATTTAGAAATGGCAGCTGTCCGGTCGTATGGAATAATTGCAGCCTGGCGCTATTAATCGAAACACAAATCATAATCCGTTAGGATCCAATGATGTCTTATTCTCCCGCGTTGACAGTGTCGAGTGTGCGTGTTACTGACACAGGCTTGACAGCGCTTCTGTCAACGTGCGCTTTCGGTCCCTTCGTGTCTCACCGTCGTCGTCGTCGTTGGAGTGATTCGGTATTACGGTAGTAGTGAAATTTAGCGACGACCCGCATACGGAAGATTTCACGTCGACGTGTTATCCGGTAGTTGAATTTCGGTAGCTGATTTAGCACTTGCGAGCCCTCGTCTCGTCTCCGCGCCGCGGCTTTAATCCGCGAGACGTTGATTAATAGCGCGTCGCGCGAGCATCTCGCGCGACTTTTTTGATTTTATTCGGCTCTGTCTGAAGAGAGATGGATTCCCTCATTCAAACCGGGCTTTTCGTCACGGGCGATTTATTTTTCGTGATTTGCATTTCCATTAACGATTCGAATGTCTCTCTCTCTCTCTCTCTCTCTCTTTCTCATACACACAGTCGCAACGGCCACAACAACAACCTAGATTCTTTTCTACCTCGGCTTTAACGGTCGCCGGAAAAATCAATCGACGGCCCGTTTAAGTGGCTCCCTGACATTTTCCGCTATAACCTGGGAAAACAAGAACGAGACCACCGTCAATTTACTTAGTAGCGGCGGGAAAGAGGCGGCAGAAAGATGGCCTGCGCGTCTATCAGTCGCGTGTAACGTGTGAGAAAAGTAACAGCGGTGACTACGATGGCTGGAAAACCAGCTGATGGAAAACGGATCCCGGGATCATCTTGGTGATCCATGGAGAATTTCAGACTGATGGACGATCGTACTTTTAGGAATGGGTTGGCGGATAGGGAGAAGGGAAGAAATATCGTGGAAGCGAGAAGGGGTTGTCGATCGATCGCACAAGCCGTCTAGGCTTTTCCTTCCCTTCGACTCTCCTTCTTCTTTGCCGGAATCGTCCCCTCGATCCTATCATGTCGCGATCTTAGACACGTGGTCGAGCATTCCCGGCGCGTGTGTCAAGAACAGAATCAGGGGATACCTCACACGAGTTAGGACATTTCGGTGGAATCGTCGTCCGAATGAATGGGGACGAGTTACCTGTTTGCTTTCGACTGAAGAGAGAATGGTAGCTCGTGAGGTCTGTGAGTGCTGTCGACCGCTTTGTTGACTCGAGGAATTGACAAACGGCAATCATCGGCGATTTCATTCTAAATGTGTCGAAGGCGGGAAATCAAGCCATTAAGTCGAGCCGAACTTTTATCGAAATACATAAATCTCTTATTTTTTCGTGCGCGAAAAAAGATCGAAGGAAATATCGTCATCGTCGTTGCGTGGGAAACGTTATGTGTGGGCCGATATTATCGAATAAACGGTCGATCATATAATTGTCGAATCGCCCCTGGTCATGTAAATATTGTAATGTTATGAAGGGACAAAAATAAATTGCTCGTATTTATCCTGTTGCGCAGAATCACTTGGTATCAACGATGCGATCAAGTAAATTTATTATCGTGAACGAACAGTTCGGAAATTTTTATTACTCACGAGATGATACTCGATTATTACCTTTATACATTTTTTGAAAGCTTTTCGAAAGCTTCTTAAAGCCTTTTAAACTCGCTTAGCGAAATGGGCAATTAATATTATACAATAATGAGCTTTTTTAATTCGTTTAAGCATTAACAATCGTCTCTCAACGATTTAATCTCGTATCAATGCGAGCGGAATAATACTTATTTGTGAATATAGCCATCATAGTAAACATTAAGACAGATTTATCGGCCGTGCATAATAAATGCATACCTAAGCAAATGTAGATGCGCAAACATTAGACGAAAACGCTACTGGTACGTTCGTATAATGAACATATATTATATCCTGTTTAAGCGGACAGTCTATCATATTCGCAATTATGCATTTTGCATTCCAATGGATCGTAAAACATAATCTCAACAACTCTTCTCTGTTTCTAATTTATCTATTAATATTCATAGCTATTTTCTTCAACAAGATCGTTTTGCGAATTATAAACGAAATTTTCTGCGACGAGCGTAATCGCGCAGTTTCCAGATTATAAGTAACGAGAAAGTCGAAAAATTCTTTTTCATGACAAAAGGGCTTATTATTCTCGCGCACATTTCTCCAATGTCGCCATTAATCCACTTCAGCATCCGTCATCTCCGGCCAAGCCGTTGAATCTCGCGCTGCCTCTCACAGGTGTGACACTGTACGCGCAAGACTCGTGAACATTTCTACCGATAAAAAGTCATTGTGCCGTCAGACGCTTAATTACACGGGCGTCATGTCCCATTCACAAGTGCTCGTCAGCTCCGCCTTCACATCCTGCAATCACTACATGTGATCATCGTCCTTTACGACATTGTCGTCGCGCCGGCGATTCTCCTTTTATTGTCGCAAGATTAAAAAACAAGATTTTTTTCGTGCGGACGTAGCAGAAGTAGGAGCACCACCGTAAAAGAGATAAGCGGAAAAAAAAGGCACGGAGAAACCACTATTAGCGATCGTGTTGCGCACACATTGGTACATCGGTGTCGCGTGTATTCGCGCAGAAACGTGGCCTAACGATGCGTCTCTCTAACTATTTATCACGTGAAGAAAATAAATGGTGCCGCGCGGCAATTTCCTGGCAAAATAATAACTCTAGCGGCGACGAAATATGATGGGTTGGGATATGAAGCGAAGAGCGGCAACCGCATACGCGGTTTTACAATCATCTCTCGTTACTTTGAAATATTTTCCTTCGCGTGAGAAAAAAGTAAAAAAAAATATTTTGTTCATTCTATTGGGACGAGAGCAAAAAGGGCGCCTTCTTCTCCGCCGGCTTTTGTTGGCAGGGACGACAGCCGTTGTGAATGTCGGTAAATTGCGTGAAAACTCGTTTTCTCCGAACTAACATCATTGGAAAATCATATCGGTGCTCTATGAAAGTGCATATTGGATTCTCGTAAGTGATCGAGATCAATCGATGGCGCGTGTATTTCGTCGCTATAGAGAGGCGAACATATGTCTCTCTCACTCGCTTTCTTATCCCTTCTCACACGATAGGCACGCTAATTGGGCCAGGTTGCGAGGAAACAAATTGAAATCGGAAAGGTAGGGGCGATTGGTGCGTCACACCAGTTCCCGTCACTGCTAACCTAATTCGGCTCCCCCCCCCCCCCCCACACCGTAATAGGGCGGAATTAACTGGAACGAACGACCGCACAGTACTCCTTCTTATTTTAGCAGCGTTACTACGAAGTCGGTTGCAATGCTCTTTTACACCAACGAAGGAAATTATAACTTTGCCCATGATAATAAAAAATTCATCTCTTTCTGCCATATTGTCTTTTTTTTCTTTCATTAAAATTCTGAACTCGCATGAAGAAATATACGCGAAAAATTTGCAATATACTCGTGACATTTACGTGAAACGGGAACGATTTCTCGAAATGGAGAGATTCGTGTCAGGTAAATATAAATTTATACCCTGATCTCATATTTTCTCTTTATATATGACGAATAGAGGCGAAATTCAGATGTTGTTGTACACCGAACAATGGATGGCCCGCTTTGATCTTTAAATGGTTTATCGATTTCCAGTAGCAAAATGCAACTTAGCTCTAATAATAACCGATTATATCTTAGCGTCGCGTTTGTTGAGATCACGTGTCGGAATAATCTTATGCAATTTCCACTCTTTACCCTCATTTACTTATCGATTGTAAAAACATCGTATTGCAATTATTTTCCATGTCACAAGAGAAGATAGAATGATCACACAATAACAACTTGTTACGCAATGATAACTCGTTAATCATTTCTATTGCTGTCCCGACGACATTGCTCCTCCGACATTCAATACAAAATTGATGCTGCATCAGATAATATGAGTGTGATTCTCTTTTGAGAGAAAATAAATTTATCAAGGAAATTGATGGATAATAGACAATATACGGCAATGTTGGACTGATATAATTTGGCAATCGTATCGTTGTTTTAATGTCTTCTTCACGCATCGTCGAAACATTTGGCCACAATTTCTTTTCCGTTACGATTGTAATTTTCAAGCGAATTTTTCGAGACAAACAGATCCATTCGAGACAGAGCGCCGCCACGGGATTTGTATCTTGTTTTCGAGGAATACTTTTTCGCCGGCAGTCATACCACAACCTCGGTGTTTTCTTCGCCTTTGTCGATGTCGAAGCGCGGCACGTGGACGTGTTTGCAAAGTTAAAGTTTCTCGCGTTTAAATTATCTTCTAAAGATAAGCTAGTCGTTCGTTGTTTTTTCTCCGAGTTTAAATTATATATATTTTTCTCCGTCAACTTGTTAAAGGTATTTTACAACTGCAATCGCGAAACTTATAAATACTTTGCGAGTTAATCGTTTTTTTACTATATCGATCGTGGAAATCACATCGTATTTAAATTATCATTATTTCCCATGTTTGCGAGAAAAATTTGTATTTTTAAGAGGTGGAATCATGTGCAAAATATCAAATTGATACGCTCCGCTCGGACGTGATTTGTTTGAGCTCGAAGATTATAAAGCTTTTAAGCCGCTAAACCATCGAAGCCCGAAGTTACGTTTTACGTTCATGTTTTTATTTTACGTGCTACGCGATATAACGCGATATATATTGAACTTCGCGATTTTCCAGTTTCGCTCGTCGTCTATTGGTCTTCGCGTTTTGTCAAAATTTTTCTAGATTTACCGCATACACGTTCAATGCAATTTACATACGATTTTTCGCTTTGAAAAGCGGAAAAATGGAAAAATCGAAGAATTGAATATTCTTCGCCTAACGCTTTTCCTTCTTCTAACGACGACGCGCCAGATGCTGGCGGTGCATAATATAAACCGCATATGTACGTCCATAAAGTACATCATATCCGCAATGGCGTAATATCGTATTCGTACAGATTAATTCCGCGCAAAGAATATGGCTTCGAACGAAGTTATTCTGGTTACATAAATTACACGATAGCTCATATCTAATAATTGCACCTGCTCTCTGGGGTTGCGCGTGGATGGGACCGGAATACGAGAGGGAGATTGTCTCGAGTGAATTATTTCCCGCGCCGCCGGCAACGTACTGTTGAAGGTAGAGTGAATAATGGTCGGTATTAATTAATTCATTATTTTATGCACGAACGTTGAGGATATACCGTGGCAGTTTCTGCGAGTAGATACGTGAGTGTCGTCGTAACGATTTTAATAGTCAACGACCGTAACGAAGAGTTACACCCGCGGTAACCACCGAGTAAATCTAGGGAATACATATTCATATATCTCCCTAAAAAAAATATAACTTTGTTTTTTAAAAACCGATGTTTCTGATTTTAGGAGACTACAGGACAGTGGGTCAATTTGGGTCTGGAGCTGGAGCAGAGGGGCAATGATATCATCGGTACGAAGAAACCGACAGGCCATTCGCTTCTAATTGACTGCCGACTAGAGCTGCCGTACGGTAAGTGACGACACGATTCCGTTAGATTACAGTAGATGATGAAATCGCATGTCTGACGTATGTAATCGTATATATACATATGTATGTATACATACGAGATATGGGAATACGTTTGGCGTATACAGTTTATCGATGTCACTGTGTTAAGCGAATAGAAGATCCGGGCTGCAACGGCTTATGGTTTCCTGGCGAAAATAATCATGCGTATTTTGAGATCGTAATTTATCAATTTTGATATCACTATCGAATCGCGCGATTGCATCTCCGATCTGCTATTCGCTTATTTGCTCCTAATCGTCCCTTGAACGCCAGCATGACTGCGTTTTGATCGCCATGATAAAATAAAATTCTGTCGCATAGCGATAGTTCGCTCTTTATCGCGTGGTATTTATTAAACGCGATGCGATTGCCAAAAGTATGTTTGTGGAGTAGAAAAAAGAAAGCTCGACTTCGTTTAGTTCGAGTTGGTACCAACAAAGCATCGATTTTCCAATTTCAAAATCGACGAATTCCAAATAAAAATTCCAAATAAAAAGTAATCTAAAATGGCGGACGAGAATGTTTCGCGAAAGTAGACGGAGGTTGATTCGAAAAGAATGTGGGTTAACGCTAAGAGATAAGTGTCGTTACCGAAGAAACCGAATGCATGAAGCAAAACTTCTAGTACTGTATGCGAAATTGCCCGTGATTCGCTTGTAATCGACAATGAAGCTTCCATTAACCTGGCATATTTATTACGAGAAATCAAACTGGATGTATGACATACTCAATTTATTAATTTATTGCTAATTTATTATTCTGATCGCAAATAAAAAATTAATAAAAATTTGTATAATTTACGAGAAAAAAATATTCCTTTTAAATGTAATCTCTATTTTATTTTATAATATATATTTCATCATATATATTACATATACCAAATAAATTATATAAATATAAGCTATTGTTTTAATCATATTATATTTTAAGTATCTGAAATTATATTGTATTTTAAATATCTGAAATTAAAATCTAAAACATATAGGTGCATATATTACACAATCCTCTATATGCCTTATATTACACAATAACATAACATAGATTTATTGCGAAAAAATAAATAGTTATTCTTATAAATAATAAATACATTATATAATTTATAAATGGCTCACAGTTGCTCGGTCATTGTCGGATACCTCTGAGTCTTTCCCTTTCTCATTCATTCTTTACTGCTCCTTTACGACACTTATGTAACTCACGCACTCACTTGCGAAAGTACAATTAACTATGATCGCGCGCGTACTAATCAGCAAAATAACTTATTGTTTAATTCCGGTATTTAGGATAATAATTATTTCTTTAATGCTTGAATTCTCGGATGTATCTCATATCGCGCTTTAAGTTTCTCGTCGATTCCGATGTAATTTTTCTATTATTTTAAATTGAGAACGTAGTGTACGAATCTTGCAGTATCGAGTGATTAAAGCAATAAGAGAAAAGCAGTGATATATATTCTTACTTTAAATGAGTATATAAATCACACGAAATTAATATCTGCTTCGATAAATCGCTTCGACACGCTTATGAATCGTTAATTGCTAATTGTAATAGAGATTTTGTTAATTTTTTATTACAAAATTAACTGCTCGCTTATCTCTTTGCGATAATAACTCATTTTATGTCATACGTTTAATTTGATTTCTCGTAATGAGGGTGATAAGATGCGAGGTTAATGGCGGTGATAATAAAATACGAGAATTACCAGATTATTTTCTTCGTATCACTCGACGAGATCGCAATATCCAATTCGTGGAAGCGAGAAAAAGAATGACGCGAAGCCATCATCGGCAAGAGCTGTTCACGGCTTTTTCTCGTCGAACGAGAGCGACAAGAGGGTCGAACTTTTAATTGAGTACATCTGTGAATTTGTCGAATCCGCTGCTGGCTCGGCGCCCGCGCATTTCCGACTTTGCCGCCGTGCCTTACGCAGTTACGTGCCCTCTTTAATTATTTCGATGTCTGAAATTTTGCGTAATAAAAGGTAACAAGGAAACGGGATATATGGTACTCTCGAGAAAATATCGAGGGATTTTCGAGCAAATGAAAGGGACTACGAACTTACGCTCTTGCGAAGTTACGAGTGTTTCTTTCCGCCGTTTGCAACGAGCGGAATTTAAAATCGTTGCGATCGTATATCTCAATGTGATATTTAACGGGCTTAAGATCTCTCATGGGGCACACGCGCGAGAAAAAAAAAGGGGACGAGAAATATTTGCAACGAATATATAAAGTTTTAATATCATAAGTACGCGTGGAGTTGTTTACACTTGCGCTTGTTGACTTTTTGCGGTCTTTCCACGATTCGTTGCTCGCTTCGGCGATTATTAAGTCAGGCAAGGTCCCTTGGCAATCTCCGGATATCGACGTGGTGATGCGCGATTCGCCGAGTTTTCGGCAAACTCGTAAGCAGCAACAAGTACAACTTTTCCCGTCTTTTCGCATACATACATATATAATATACGTGGAACATTCCATTGTCGCTGTTTACGAGGGTCCGCGAGGGTCTGCGAGGGTTCACGTAATCCGGCCCTTTAACCAGGATTGACATGCTTTCACCTAGTGCCCGGTCGTCGACACGCCCGCGCGATCGATACGCTATCGACTTTTCGCGACGAAAAGGACTTCGAAAAGGGGCTAAACGTACGTAACAATTCGCTCGATCGTCTTCCGAATCCGAAATTGATTTACGAACACACGAAAGCAATTTTGATATGGTCAGTTTTTAATATGGTCCGCGAATAAATTTCGGCCGATAGTAGATATAGACGCGCGTCTTAATTTGTATGCAAATTTGCAGAGATTTATTTCTAGCGCTTAGAGAAAGATTTCGTCGCGTAATATTATCGCGATCAGGGGTCGCGTTGAGGGTGCGCGTATTTTTTTCTTTTTTTAATACCGAGTGAGAGGCTCGGCCCGGCGACGTACGAATGTTCTGCGTTCCATTAAAGGCGCAAATTATTTTTCACCACGCGATGCATTGCTTGACCGTGTTGCGAAATGAAGGAAAACGAGGCCGCTTATAATAAACCCTCGTAGTATACATGCGGCTAACGTCGTCGTATAGTTTAGCCGCGTGCTGTGGATCCGCTAAGCTCTCTCTTTTTCTCATGCTATTTCTTTTTTTGCCCGCGTTTTCCCGCCACCGCTTCCGGTTTTTCGATCCACCAGCCAACCGCGCAGTTTAATGGATTTTTACCGCGCACACAATGTACATTTCCCGCCCGCCGGTAATACCATTTGTTATTGACTTTGTTTGAGAGCGCGGAGAAAGAGAGACGTTCTTCTACCTTATCATGTAAAATGGAATAACGCGACGTGAGAGAAGAGAGAGTGCTTTGAAAAAAATCAAGAAGACTTTTACAAAGAGACGCGCAACGGGAGGAGATAATTAGAATCTATTCGAGAAATATAGATTGCTACTTGTCGAAGTATATATATTAGCCGATAATATAATTCCCGCGAACTCGTAAACTACAATTTCGCGAACTTAAAATGTCGAAAGTTGATAATATAATTTCTTTGGAAATTGCAGATGCTTGCTATAACGACGTCTGTGTGAAATTAATGCCGTACTTATGTAACGGCGCGTATACGACTTTTGCGTTGGCAGTATAATTCCTCTTTACTTTTCTTCTAAATACTTCGTCCTGTGAAATTGGCGAAAGTAACAAGTATCGTCAGATAAACTTTTGTAATTTTAAAACATACTTACACGAGCTTTCTTACCGACTACGAGAAAATTGCCATATCTATTGTTATAATTCAATGAGAGAAAGGTATGAAAGGAAAATATTGATCTTGCTGTCAAAATCTTTCGTGTCTTTTCTCGATGTGGCTCTCTCTTCCTTCTCTTTGATTACTTTATAACATTTTTCTCGAGTACATACGGTGTCGTGAGCTTTTGGCACTTTCTTTCATCTACGGATTCTTTGATCAATTTATAGCTGATGTTTTATTTTTAGAACGGAGAAAAATTATATTCTTTATTTTTTTTTTAATTCTAAGTATACTTTGAAGTTTTAAGAATTACTTATAATAATATCAAATGTTGTATATTTTTTTTTAATGTGAAAAAGATACTCGTTAAAAGTCTAGATTAATGAAGAAGCCATAGATAAAAGAAAGTTTTAGAAAAACGGGATATTTTACATAATAAGTACATATTTACAAGATTATTTAATAGCATATTTAACATAATAAGATTAAGAGTATTTGAGCTTTTAATCGAAGAAAAGACACATTCCAAAGATACATATGCAATTGGATGTTGTATTATTTCACTTTTCAAGCGGCAAAGATCATGATTATAAGACGAAAAAGTTCGTGTAATACTTTTGGAAATCGCAATCGCGGGAGATGACACGCGCTGAAGAGCGCAAAACGATGGACATGATCGCCACTCGTATCATGCACACATCCACAACCTTCCGTCTGATCAGTGTCTAACCAATCAGGAAAGCGCGTACAACGAACTGGATGGAAAGCCCTGCTAACGAGCAAAACAGCAATGCAGTTGCGAGCAGCCCGGCCCATGTGTGGCTCAGGTACCCTCGTTAAAAGATCCTGATCGTGGGATCGTCGTTGATCGCGAGATCTCTATTTTTGCTTTACCGTCTCGACTCCACCGACCGATCTGCATCCGAGTGCCATGTGAATTGTGATATTCTCGCTGATCGTGGATTTGCGTCTTGCGCACATTTCTCGCTATAAAATTTAAATTTAATTTTTTCTATTAAAATGATTTATTACGATTAAATTACTGAGATAGGTGTTCTTTCGAAGAATTTTCTATAACCAAGATTTATAATGTCTCTCTGGAGACGTAATTGAGTAATCTTTATTTAAAGTCACAGAATGCCAATGCACGTTGCAAATATAAAAATCCGAATTTTTATATCTTTATCAATTGTATTACTTTTTTCTGTTATTTTCCTCAGAAACAAATGATAGTATTGAATAATTATTTGGAATTTTGAAGATTATATATGTATCAATATGCGTGTCCACGATCCGCGACAAGGAATATTTAATTTATTTGTACGCAATTAGCGTTAACAAATTCCTTCTTGCTCGTCAGTCACTGCACCACCTCTCTCCTCGAGTCCCGAATCTCTCGGCTTATCTTTTTTCACGCGTCGCTTTTAATGCGCGCGAATTGGCCTTTTTTGCCGGATAACGAGGAGCGTTTATAATAATTACGGAAACTCGGTTCTTCTCAGCGTGTGAAATAGGACTTGTCGTCGCGTCGAAAGATGGTTTTACGAGAGGCAGTTTTATCCGTATATCGCGCCCCGTCGTCGGGTATCTTTTGTCTTCCACCACAGCCGCACACAACGTTCCCCTCGGCTCGTTTCATTAACTTAAGTGTGTGCAGTTGCTTTTGAGCTTTACGTATGTACTACGTGCGTGTCGAGAGAAGGGAAACGGGAATGTATGCACTTGAGTGGGTGGTAGTCACGCGACTAGACAGAAGTTGTTCCAGACGTTCACGGCGGACTTTGATACGATTTCATACCTGATTAGCTGACTTTAATTACGACATCGCATCGCGGCGACGCGCGCGGCCGTGTTACTGGAAACCCTATTGAAACTTTTCAACGCGGAAGTCGTCGACGACGCGCTGCATCATCGGTCGACGGCAACCTCCTCGTAATTTTCCCCGCCTTTCGTCGATTACTTTTCCGCGTCGTGTGATACGTCGGTTTATCACTCGATATATCACTCGTCTCGAACGTCGTCTCGATCGACTAATACGACACTGTAAAACAAGCACAGCATCACCGCCCCGAATGATCCCCCACCTTCATCACCAGATCACTGCGTGTGAATCTGTCATGTGTGATTTTAGCGAGAAGAGGTAGGATGTTCGATGTTTCTGCTTTCACGTATTCTCTTTTATTGCCCTCGTCCGGCGCGCTATTGTTATTCTATTTTATCGGGAAACAAAAATACACGGTATTATACGCAGCAATATTGTTGCAAATGAGATAAAATATTCCCCATCCGATGCTTTATAGTTTCCAATGAGTATTATCTGACGGTGTTGGTGAAGCAGTCACCGAACGTTACGTGCCTTTGAAACGAGCACCGTGTTTTTTGAGTGACGCACGTAGTGAAAAATTTACTATCATTAATAAGAGAAACAAATGAAAATGCAAAAAGCGTTCCCTCGACGATTACAGAGACTAACGATTTTTACTCAATTTTAACCACTATGCGTTTCTTTGACAAACATGCATATCCGATTTAATTCCAAAAAACGATTTGTTCGAATTATTACGTCCTCAAATATTTATTTATTAAAATATTTCTCTTTTTATTATATAATCAGTTATTTGTCGGCCTCTGTATCCTTGTTTTGCATCAGTTTAATATCATTTTAATTAGCTTTATTATACGCACTGATGAGTATTGTGACAATGAACTACATTATTACAGCATACGAGTACGTGACTCGTTTATAATGTGGAGAACCTGAAGAAAGTTACGTAATTTTTTAATTAAATAATTGAAAAGGAGATGATAGTTTCAGATATTTATTATATATTAGAAACAAAATGTTATCGTAGCATATATATATAAATAAATATATATAGGCCCGTAGTTATTCTGTAAATGCGAGAATTATTATTTAATTTATGTATCTTAATTTTTTAAAAATAACTTTTATCAGAGAAAAGTAAATTTTGCATCGCGTTTAAATATATATAATATAGTAATTCTTCAAAAGCACATTGGCGCCTTATTCTCTCAGGCGCTGCATTTTTGCGCGTTGCATTCCTTCAATTGGTCGATATTAACTTGAATCGACTGAAGACAAAGGAGACTTTCTCTCTTCAGGTACATCTTTTTTTTGCGAGCACACACACTTATTCCCGGAGCACCATCGCACGTGCACGCAGTGGCGCGGCGATAGCACAATAGGGGGGCGGATTTCGAATGAGCTAAAGAAAATAAAGAAAAAGATACCAGAAATTCTATTGTTTGATGTGTTGTTCTTTCAAGTAACGATACATGAAAGAGAGGGTACCTGCAGATACATTAAGCTATGGCTGCGACACTGTAATTAACGACTGTCCGTAGACACTTGTTTCCCTTTTTCCGCTATTTCCGTCTCTCTACCTCTATCTGTTTTACGTAACTATATCTGTATTTTGTAATTAGTTACACAAGAATTGTGCCGTGGCATTATTAGTAAAGTTAACGCCAGAATATCACAAACAAACCACGATGGGGGAGCAATATCAATATTAGTGGTTAGTACACTGTCCATCGTTAAGTACGAATTCATTCGAATACGATAACGGAAGAGTCCTTATAGTTTAATCTTATTCAAGCATGAGCAAGCATTGTGGAGTATGTACCTATTCTTTTTTCCTCCGCGACTGTTCTCTCGCACAATGAAGACGGTATTTCGAAAGAGACACCTTGAAAGAGCGTTGAGATAAGTTGTTTGTTCAGTTTTTCTTCAAGATTCTTTTTTATATTGCGTATATACTAAGATAATAATAATTTACAAAATTCAAGATTGTTATTAAAATTTCTTTTTAAATTTAATGAAAAAACGGAATTATCATAACCAAGAATAAATTAATTTAAAAAACTTTTTTTGATTTTTAAGGAGGAGATAAATAAGAGATGCGTACACATTGCTCGAACAATATTACGTATTATAAAGAAGAGGAGGAGTCTTTTTATTTGTGAGATGTGTACAGTGCAACATAAAATACTAGCTAGTATAACGTTTGATATGCAGAACACGTATCTTGTGCGCAATATACATCCGACTTTCTCGCCTACAAAAAAGTCTATTTCACATTCGAAATGGAAGCAAATAGCGATTGATACATACATACAACTTTATGTAGAGCGCAGAATAATTAAATAGGACGTTTTTCAATTAAATGGACAAATTATCGGCCTGATATTGATATGTGAGTCCGAAACGCAGTTTTTCTCATCTCTCTAAAATATTCTCTCGTACATTTATAAATTGATATTAATAATCAATTTGATTATTGTCTGCAATTATACATATATCTTAAGAATTTTTCACTATTGAAAAATATCACATGTGTCAAAAATTGGAATTGTCGTTATACATATAAGACTGAGCAGCGACCGATGCGATTCGATATCGTTGATACTATTCAGACCAGCTCATTGATATTTCGTCTGTCTAACAATCGGAAAATGTTCTATTTATATGCCTTGTGTGTTATTTGAAATGTACTAATTGCACGTTTCTGCTCAGCCACGTGTGTGGCCGAGCACGAAGGGGCAAACCGGATATATGGAGTTAGAGATAAGAGCGACGAGGGGTGATGAATAGAACGAAGACGACCTTCCGGGGATTTAACTTGCCAATAAATCCTTACCTGTATTGCTTGCTAGTATATAAGGTGATCTGTTTGAAACCAAATACACGATTCAATTTTAGTGCCGTTTTAAGCGATTTGCAGCTTTTATATAAATAATTTGCAAATAGTATTGGACTCTTTTAATCATTTAGATATTTTTGTGAAGGATATTATAAGAATTAATATATTAAATTGAAAATAAGATTATATATTATAATATAATGATAGATATTAATTGTTTGACATGTGATAATCTTTAAGAAAATACTGCTATGATTGTCAAAGTTTTGAATTAAATTCGCTGTTTTAATAAACTAATTTTTATATAAAATAATAATGATGATAAAATGTCTGAGAAGATTTCATGCGTTTCTCAAAACGCTTTATATTGACGCGGAAAATCTTTTCAATCGTTTACACCGAGAAGAGACGTCGGATGCCCATTTAAAGTCAGCTGAAGCGATTCTCTGAAGTCGTAGAAGAATCAATAGAGTCTGCTTGAGAAGCAGCGGTAACGTGGTATAATTTCTTCAAGCGGCGCGGGTACATGAAGAGGGTGGGAACTACGGTTTCGGCGCTCTATTGTGTGAAATTTATTTCGTTTCTTTGAGAATCCCGCGAGAAATACGGTCTCTCCTTCGATTCCGGAAGGTCGCTCTACTATAATTGTGCACAAAGTTAAAAATGACTGAGGAAATTTAACAAAATTTCTCGCAATTGAAATGAACAAAATAACACGCTTCGAATACTTAGCGGATAACATAAATAGCATCGTTAAAATTTGTAACGATAAATGGAAATGTAAAATAATTGAGATTTCCTGTATTATTGTTGAACTTATTAATACGTGAAATCGTCGTCAATTATATTCGATTGCGATATTGTATCGATATCAATATCCCTAATATAGCCGTTTGAATGTGAGTGATGTCCAATAAAGTAACAAAGGAAATAGTGAGCAAAGCGGAAATAGAAAAAGCACTGAAAAGAAAACAAGAACGACAAGGAGACAACTCTGTCTGTTTTCACTATGCGCGTCACCGCGCGTTGTCGCTCAAAGTTTGTTAATATGTGGGTGGCCAGCTGTTACTGTCGTGCCATTACCGGCGCCTGCAGTTGCAACATTGCATTTATTTCACCTTGTCCAGCTGGGAATACGAAACAACTGGAAGGAGTGTCGAAAGTGCGAGACCGCTTTTTTCTAACTACCGCGTTACGGATACAGCTGGATGCAATTTTTTTTTTTTTTATTAAGAAGAGACGACAGAGAGTCGGCGCGGCAGAACGGACGAAAGAACCGCAGGGCGAGTAACGAGGGTCATCGGGGAGGAGGAGGGTGGAGATACGCCGCCGAGGTTGAGGTAGGACCGAAACGAGCGCTCCGGTGGCGGCTCTCAAAGAAAAGTAGTACTCTCCCGAGACGACGCGGGAGATCTCCTTCAGGGCTTGACCCTTTTTTTAATTGCATCCAGAAGGATAGACGACCAGAGAAACGAAAAACACGTTCTTTATGGTACACAGCTGCAAGTTGTGCTGACGATTACCAAGATTCAACAGAAATTGCACGACGCATAAGATGCGTCACGAGACACGTACGACTTTATGACGCCTGCAGAGATTATATGCAAAATACGCATGCCAAGGTCGCGTATATTGCAACGACCGATTATTTCATAACCGAAAAACCATCTGTACTAATTAAGAGATAGATATGCAATTAAGATTGTAAGAATTAAATGCTACAAAAAGAGCATAGAAGACGCGGATGAAATAATAAGTGTAATCCATTTTGGAATAACGCCAACGGAAGAAGGTACTTTCATCATGATGCTGCGTACGTATATCACATTCTAAGTAGCCGATCGAAGTGCTAGTTAGATGGTAGATTCTCCTTAAGGACAGAATGAGAAGCACGAGGATGACGCGGAAAATTGATGCACTCGGTTTGTTCGTCGAGTAAACGCCGAGACGGTCGTCTTTTTCTTTCTTTCTCTTTCTCTCTTTTGTACACCGGGGAATATTCTCTAATATCGTCAGAGCGGTAGAATTGTTGACTGGGATGTGGGGTAGCTCGAGAGAGGTAGTCCTGTAATAAATCGGCCTGAAACTCTGGAAGCGGCGAGTCGCGCTGTCGTTGCTTGATAAAGTTTACAAACTCTCCTTGGAGTTTATTGGTTCAATATGTAATTATAACAGAGAGGAAGAAGAGAGAGAGAGAGAGAAAGAGAGAGAGAGAGAGAGAGAGAGAGAGAGAGAGAGAGAGAGAGAGAGAGATGGAATAACGCTGAGAGTTACATTATTTATATAGGATAATTTAGCGTAGTTGCTCTTTTTGGACCACTTATCGAGATTTGTGCAATTTTCGAGCAATGTGTACATCCGAATATGGTAAACAGACGCGTTTTATGAACATTTTACATTTTGTTTTACGTTATTTAATGAAAAATGTACAATTAAACATAAGAATTAAATAATATTTCGCCTAAATATAAAATCTTTATAGCTGCTCTTTGTCGCGAGCTCGTTAGATATGATATACTAGTGGAATATTATTGTAGAAACGATATGTAGGCAGTGTGTATATGTATTCAATAATTTATTTATCTTTCTTTTCGCGAGAGAATCTTTGGTATCTAAGTAAACTTAGGATGACAGATCGACTGAAGACGTCAAATTATCGAGACTCGCGATTAACTGTTTCCCCATCGATATCTATCTTTTCGAAAGACCCCGAGAACACGGATGCGGCCGATCTGCAGAGGAAGCTGGAAATGCTGAACAACATGATGGACCAGGAGGCGCGGGCCGAACAGGCACGAAGGCAGATATTATACAATATAGGCCACTGTAAGTACCGTCAAGTTACAGTTTAAATGGCTGATATTTCATTCGAATGCTCTTTACGACGAGAGAAAAACGTCCCCGATCGATTTCATCTCTTATCCGGCACATTCGCTCGCGATATATGGAAGAATCTGGCTTTTCTTCCTTCCGAGAAAATTTGATTCACGGCGCAAATCCGAATAAATGAAACGTACGCGTCTTCCGAGAAAGTCAGAAATCTTTATATTGATCTGCTCTTTGTGAAAGAGAGTCAGCTTTATAAAATAAAAGCGTATATATTGGATTATTTAAATTTTAGTTTTATTCAAAAAGATCTGTGCACGCGATGTAATCTCTTTTCGCTTCCTACTGGCTTGCCGCGCCTGATTTATGACGCACTCTTACTACTCGCGATACTTTCCCGCGCCGAATCGTTCACGGACCGTTACTACTCGCATCTTATTTTAATTCCGAGAAGGCGCGAATACGCGAAGGGAGATTGAATTGTCGTGTTTGAATACAACTGTAAAATTTATATCGCGAGCGTTAATTTACTGCAGCCTACGTCACACAACGCTTTCATCCACACGTCCGACATACTTGCAGTATTTTTAGAAACCGTGGCTTTCTAGGTCGTTCGCTCGAACGCTACTTCCGAGTAAGTCATAAAACTTTTACGCCCCTGTTTTTTCATGCGAGAAATCAATTTGGTTTCGTGCTAGTTCCTATCTACGATCGGCGACTATACGCCGTTCTTATCCACGGAGAATATGTAGCGAGATGTACTCTGGAGAGAAACAGGCATAAGGGACGCCATTTCATATGTGTTATCGGCCATCGACGTATATCGTCGGTAACTTACCACCCTTGTTACTCCCTTTCTAGTAACCCCTTTCTAGCAAGCCCGTGTAACAGCTATGAGAAGGCATGTAAGCAGATTAGCTCTACCTCTTCCTCTCTTCCTTTCTCTCTTTGTACTGGATACTTTGTACTCATTGGTGTCTGGCCGATTTTACCGTTCTATGTTTTTGCAAACGTTCCATATTACCTTTTGTACGGTAATTTGCATTCCTATCGGTCTCAATTTCTCGGGGAAAAAAAAGAAGAAACACACGAGTCTCCTAAAAGGAAATCGACACGATTTCTAAAGATCAATTTGTCGCATGGCTGTTAATTATACTCATCTTGCTTCCTGCTATTGCACCACTTCAGTTCCCGGATTCTACCAATATCGACCAATTCTGTCTGCGGGAAGTTGCGAAACTGTCACGACGAAGTTGGAATTGGCTTCACGTTTTGTTCAGAGAACTGTTAAGTTACGATGCCGATGTAAGAGTGAATTTTGCGAAGTGTATTACCGATATTGACATTTCGATATATAAGCGAGGCTGTGGAAATTATTGTAAAATAATTTGTATTTTTGTCTATTTAAAATATGATTTTTATTTTTTTCTTTCAGTTATCTATATGCGTTTTGTTTCATTGCTATATGTCAGCTGCAAGAAAATAAATAATTTCGGCACAACGTTACAGAAGCGAGGCGACATTTCGATATCTATATCTTCGAAGTTATCAGGGCATTATCAGGCGTCGCTAATCTTTTACTCCAGTTTCTCTAGATCATTTTCAACAGCACAGACTATACTTTGTAATCCATTTTTCAGCGGGATACTCGGAGGATTCTGACTACACGTCGGACTTGAATTATCCAGTAGCTGGACAGGGCGCGAACAGCTCGGCCTCACAGTTTCGTACAGCGGCTAACCAATTGGCTACACCTCAAAGATCCCTCGAGACGTCGAGAGAAAATAGTTACGAGAGAGACGATCATCAGGTATTGATCGACGACGAAATCGCGGAAAAGCTTGCACGGAACATTAAATATATAAATACTATTGAACGCTATTGAATGACATCTCTGACATATAACGATTTTATTCATTTCAATTATTTCGTCGTAACGGTAGAGAGTCCGAAACGATTGGACTGTGTGTCATTTGAATAATAAACTTTCGTTCCAATCCACTTATATTCTCTTGTCGTTAATTACGCGATGGTAAATTAAGAGGATAACGTCGTCAGGTTCCAGTCACCGTCGCAGGAAGGCTGGCGCCTGGTAATTACGGAAGTTACGGAAGTTCGGGCCACAGTCCGAGATACGACGAGCCGTATCCGGAGGACGGTCTACCGCAGAGATACTTGCAGACTCAGCAGCACCCTTCAGAGTCTTCCGAGCCACTCTTTTACAACAGTAGACCGAAGCACTACAAGGAATACAGGTATTACAAACGAGTCGAGTTATCGCCATATTTCACACGACTAGTATACTCAATTATAACGATTTGGTATATTTAATTATAACATATAATAATGAGATAATAAACTAATGTGCTAAACGCACACACACACACACACAAATTGGCGGTTTCTGTACGCGTTAATTTACCACGCTATTTGATACATAAATATGTATAACATCTGTTGTCTATGCGATAATTGCGCATAGTTTTTATAAGTTTATAGAGATTGATATGATTGATAAGTTTATTGAGATTGATATAACGGAAGAAAAGCGTTTATTATTTTTTGCCTGATTCAGACGACGGAAGCACACGTGGGATTACGACGACAGGTACGAATACGAGCGCGGCCGCGCGGTTTCGTGAGAATTTCAATGACCTCCATTTCTACAGCACATGTTCACGCATACGCGGTTATCAACTTCATCTATCATATTTTGTTCTTACCAAGCATATCACGATCTCGCATAGCACCATCTCGCGCATTATCGCAATGCTAGGCTAGCTTGTGCGATTGCATTGCACTCAATTAACCATATGCAATAGCAAACACATCGATCGCAACAGTGATTACAATTCGAGCGAGCCGTTTCGTTATAATGTAGGCCATCGCATTGCCAAGTATTTATTTCCAAGCATTTATATAATGTATATAAAAATACAATTATAATATTATAAAAAAAAGATTCACGCTTTATAATTAATTAATTAATAGTTTTACACGGTTTTATTTTAGTTATACGTGGCTTTACTTCTGCTATTTAAAAGTATTAAGAATTTTTAAGAGGGGATATGTTTTTTTATTGAGTTTTGAAGAAAAGATTATGAAAGTGTGATTAAAAATAAAAATCACGAATTATTGAAAACATTAATTAGCAAGTTCAAATGATGCGTTAACCAATTCACAGGCATTTGCATGATGCGGTTAGTAATCGCAGCTGATCATTCAAGAAGATTGATAAAAGTCCCTTATCACGAGTCATTTCATGTGCGGCTCAATCCCTCATTCCTGATGTGATTAATGTTTTCTGATCGTTATCTCATACTTTCAGCCAAGACGGCTGGTACAGCGAGGGTTATGATTATCACGGAACGAAGGTCGACGACGCGAGAATTTATAGCGACACTGAATACTACTCAAACAACACGACATCTACTACAAAAAGACGGGGAGCGAAAGGTACTAACAATAAGTTTTAATTATAAATGCACTGCGGATTATTAAATAAAATTCTCGTGTTTTTTTTATCCTTTATTTAATCTTTCCTTTCCTTTATTCTTATGCGTTTACAAATTCTAGACGCTATATGTATATATGTATAATGATAAAATATATTATATATTAAATAAATCCACATATTTTTATTAAGCTTTTAATTTTATCGAATATTTGATATAAAATATTAAAAATGAAAATATTTTTATTAAATCTTTCCTTTCTTTTTTATTCTTATGCGTTTATAAATTTTAGACGCTATATGTATAATAATAAAATATATTATTAATATTATTAAATATAGTATTGAAGAAATCCGCATATTTTTTTTTTATTTATTAAGTTTATTTGGTTTTAGTTTTACTGAATATTTGTTATAAGATAATATCAGATGAAAACCAATAAGTTTGACACTTCTGTCTATATTTTCCAAGCAATTCCACACAGAAGACCGTCTCTGGAAAGACAAATGACTTTATATGACGATCATTCGTATTACGCTGATGGATATAGCAGCGACGGTAGAGTGGGTAAAATGAGCGCTATGTATCCGGAATGCGAGACGGATATTAGGTATAACGAATACTACGATAACATAACGGGATACGTCTATCAAGATGAGAGGTAAATCAATAGGATAGGAACAAATACCGCAGACAGAAATGATAAAATTATCGTTGAGGAAACTAATTTCTTTCTTTTCGTAGATATGGTCAGGACGACGAGGACAGACAATGGGACAGTGGAGGGAAACGGTACTTGGGAACAAGTACGTACTATGAAAATAAGCGAAACAGAAAGACGCTTCCACAGAGGCCAGCTTCAAGCATTGGTATACATCGGCCAGATTACAGACCCACTGTTACCAGACAGCGTAGCTACGAATCAGAAGAACTCGACTACAAGTACGTAATTCCGAAGAAGGATTATATTTGTTATAAATTTCCATCCTTATTATTTGAATCTCCATTCTCATTATTTCATTTATTAAGGATTATATTATAAATTTTTATTCTTATTATTTTAATCTCCATTCTTATTATTTTAATCTCCATTTTTGCTATTTTATTTTAAATCTGGAGTATTCAAATACGTTTAAAATTATAATTACACAAAATTGAAAAATATTGAACTTAAAAGCAAAGAACAAGATTTAAAAGAGAGGCGAGTATATACATATTTAAATATATATTAAAGTGTAATTCTTGCTGAATATTCTTTGTAAAGCGGATACAATACTCGTCGCCGGAAGATCTTGCAGCCGCAACAGCGTCCGATATCGCGGCAGGAGGGTGGCACCGGTAAGAAACTACCTCCGACCCCGACCAAGCCGAGCAACGTGGTAATCAACCGTAAGCTCGCCTCTTTGCCCGCTACGCCGAGCAGACAACTGCCAAAGACCAGAACGCCCTCCGAAGAAAGCTATTACAAGTCTGATTACAACGAGGACTATAATTACGCTTACCGTAGTCAGGATAATCTTCCGCAGGACACGTATACGGAGAACATTTACAGTCAGCAGCAGAGCGACCAGGTGGACCAAGTGCACGCCGCTAACAAGACTCATTATCCCGAAATAAACCACGGTAATCAGTACGGATACGTTGACGGTCAATACGACCAATCGTATCCGAACCAGCAGATACAGAACAGCTACGGGCAGACTACATATGCGCAACAGAATTCATACAAGGACGAGTATCAGCAACCTTACGCGCAGCAGAACGCTGAAACCTATCATGATGAATCCTATCTAGACACGACATATCCGATCGCCAGCCAGGCAAATGATCACCAGTACACGAATCAGACTAAAAATCAATACGACAAGCCTGACGGTATGATAATCGAGGACAATTATCACGAGATGGGCTTCGATCAGAACAACATTCAGTATCAGCAGGACTATAAACAGCAGGACTACAAACAGCAGGACTATAAACAGCAGGATTACAAACAGCAGGACGTTTATCAAGAGCAATATGACGATTATAATGTCACTACCGTTCCGTCGACCGTTTACGATCAGAATAACGTCACGAATACATACAATCAGTATCAGCCGGAACAGTACGATTCCCAATATAATATCAATACGTCGACTGATTATCAAAAAACTTATCAAGAGACGTACAATCAAGTGCCTGTTACATCGCAGGATAATTATCAGGAATCTTATACGAAGCAACCGCAGGAAGATTTTATAAATTATCAAACGCCATATAGTAAACAGGAAGATGTGCCTACAACGTACAAGAATAATTATCAGGAACCTTATCAGGAAAATTATCAAGAGATGTACGACGAGTATCAAGATTCTTATCAGGGATCCTTCGAGGAGCAGGGTTATAAAGAGAGCCCAACAACGGCGACGGACAGAAGACAGAGCGAAGTGCCCGAGCTCTCCGTGACTACGCCTCGTGGTCAGACAAGGACAAATGGTTATCCGTCAAGCGAGTCAGAATATATTTATCAAGAGAACGAGGACGCGTCATTAAGCACTTCGAGAAGGAAGAAGCTTGGCAATAAGCGCGAAGCCAGCCCGCTTCTTCAGCAAAATACGGATTCGCTCGAGTCCAGAGACGACGAACTAAAAGATTCGTTTGAAACTGTCGTGAGTTCCGTCAGCAGCAATCAGTTGAAGAAGGGATACAGCGAATACTCGACAGCTGGTGATTCAAGTCCCGCAGCTGTCACTTTGGTGGATTCCTTGCCGAATGTCGCTCAATCTCAGACGACTACGATGGTCAATCACGTGACTGCCAATCACGTAACCACCACCGCAATGGTTCATACTACTACAAATATCGTGAATGGCAAACGACCGTTAGCCAGGACAGATTCCTATCAGGAGGACATTGTCGAGGATGAGGAATACCCGGAGATTATACCCAAAGAGCCACAGAGAAAGGACTCGCAGCTGTCGCATCAGAGTCAGCTCAGTCAACACTCTCAGTCGACGCAGAAGCCGAAACTCACTAGAGGAGACTCTTATGCCTCGGATAATTTTCCCGAGGAATCTTACAGTCGTAGAGATTCGTATTCACAACTGTCCAGGAAAGATTCTTTCTCATCGACCACTGAGGGATTCAAGCCACCTCTCACCAGGACCGATTCATACCAGCAGAGAGAATTACGAGGAAGCAATTATGGACAGAACTTTACTGCTCTACAGCCAATTTCCAGAGCCGAAAGTTATCAACGCGGTCATTTCAAGGATCAAGAATCGATCGATCAGAGCGATATTGTTCTGAGCAACGCGATAGACGGGGATTATCAGATGCGGGACGAGACTCTTGAGAGGTATAAGATTATATATTATATTTAATACCTTTGATATTTTAATTTGTACATATGTAATAAATTTATATTATTGCCGAAGGTACGAACGAGGCGAGGAAGCCTTGCTTCGTAACTCTCGAGAGGACTCATTGGTCGAACAATATAAAGGAACCCCGTCTTTGTCGCATATTGAAAGTCCGCGCGGTAAGAAAATGTCTTGTTAATTATTAAAAAAATAAAAAATATAAGATTGTTTAACCATTTATTAATTGATCAATCGGCCGACTCAATTTCAGGGAGCATAACTAAGCAGGCATCACTGGACGAAAGCGTTCAGATGGACACACCACCGAGAAGTCCGCCGGAGCCGCCAGCCGACGAGGAGCTACTAGAGATGGTCGGTGCTGCGCCCGTACCCACGCAGCTGAAAGAACGTCCGGAAATGACGGCGAGACAACGCTGGCATTGGGCGTACAATCAGATCATCATGCAGCTAAACGTACGTAAGGTTTACTCTCTTTAAAATTGAAAGCGAACAAATTCATTTTTGATTAGCGAACAATTAAAAATCGAACGAATTCACTTTCTCGCGTTCGCCAAGGTTACTCTGCTAAATGAAATGACAATGACGATTAAATAGATTACGCGAGGTACGATTACGACGGTCAATGACTGTAGCGACGACCTTTGAAAAAATGCGGCGATGCCGGCGGCCCGCATAGTCCTTCGCGAGAGCTACAGTGGCCTTGTCAGACATTACCTTCGTACAGTGTCGATCTCGCATACAGACAAGCTACGAGATTATCGCTTTCTTGCTTGTTTGTATGTTAATTGTTCAAGGCCGAAAGGTCGCTGGCAGTACGTTGATCCCTATCGAGGAATACATTTAATGTGGCGACGTTTAAATTAGGCAAAGTAGGAACTCATCGATTCTATCTCTGTACAGGCATATCCTATTTGCATAAACTAGTTTTTTTCATATCTTGCGCTCGCCGATGTGTCAATGTGTCATGATGATTGATAGAACGCTGATGACGTTATTATTAATGCAGACGGGGGAGTTTCGCCTCTTATTGATTGGCAGAAAAATGCTTTTCCGGCGACCGACTCGACTCGGTATACCTGTGCATACGTATATATCAATTGCGAAACAATTGCACAAATATTTCGCAAATCTCGGACAGATAAGGAAGCGTGACGTTACTTTCCGAGAAAGATGCGGCGAAATTATAAAATGATCGGGCATTCGCGTGACATATCGATAGCATCGTTTCATCGAAACGTTCGTTTTATCCTCGAGTTCACTCGAAATACAATGATAAGTATAAGAGTCACGATATACGCGCATTACGAGGTATTATGGTATTTTTTCTACTTGTTCCCCGCGAGCTACGTTTCCTCTCGCGTAAGTTCATAACTCCCGATAAAGACATATTTCTCCTCAGGTTTCATGTGCGCCGACATTCCGTATCGTGCTAATCGATGATCATTAAATGTTATTACCGTCACATACAGCTATTGATTTAGGTGCGAGACGAATGAAACTTGACGATATAAAGTATCTCGAATTATCGACGCTCATTATCGTCTAGGTGTATTGCCACTTAAAAAGTTTAGCACTCGTCGTCGTATCACCCGGTATCAGATTATCGTCTGGCTTACATGAAACTTCCATTAACGCAGTCTTGTCGGCCCAAACGAGAAAACCGGAGTACGCACCTGGCGCCACTTCTGGGAGAGAGAGAGCCGCAACGGCAGTCGATATATGGTCGAAAAACTTTGGCTCGCGGTGATGGAAAATGTAAATTCGCGCGGAGTCGTCAGTGAGCGAAACAGTTGGCGAAGCGATTGTTTATTTTCCTCTTCCACTGCTTGAAAATCGTGCCAGGAAAGTCGCTTCCTCCTGGCTCCGTAATTGTCACAATCTACAACGGTTCAAATGGCTGCCGATTTTCAAAAAAGGCTTACGTCGCCGTACGGTATCGCGTCAGACTTTTTTGGAAAAGGAAAAAAAATAAAAGAATTAATTCAAAGAATTGGCAGCACAAGAAAACGTGCATCACGTTTTCGGAATCGTTTTGCGAGTGAATGCGAATTTTTCGAACGCAAGGAAATAATAGCCGAATTTGGTTGCTATTCTTGCGGGGATCAATTATCGCCCTTTTGCGTGTCCTCGCACATTCGTTTTCGTATTCGCTCTCTCGTTATTCTCCTTGTTGCCCTCTCCGTTGCCGATTGCATGCCGGCCGGAAGAACTATCCTCGGCGGAATAATTGTCCTCCGGGAAACAATTAGGATCGATTTGCCCGACTATTAAATCGAGTGCGAGAAGTCCCGAGTGTACGATTTTCACGATAGTCGCGAATCATACGTCTCTAAATTCTACTCGAAAACATTGTCGCCGCGATAAAAGGCTAGCGGTGGCAGTTATCGTTGGACACGTTTCGCAAACTTTGCGCGATAATTCCCGGATGTGGCTTGTTTTCTCCTCCTTTGCTCCGCGAGAAGAAAAATGATCGGATCGCATTAGAGCGACGATATTTTGACGGCGAAGAAATTTTTCTATTGCTTGTAACTGAGTTCCAAAAAGCCATCGCAAAAAGCGATTTACAAGAACTCAAGCGTCGGTTTCCTCTACTCATTTTTCCTCTCTTCTTGTTCTTACTGATAAAATGGCTTTTACGTGTAGACACGTTCTTATACTTGATCGTGGTCGCCGGCGAGCTGCTACCATCGCGCCGGATTTTTCCGTCGCATCTCGCGCTGTCGCATTTTTTTTTTTTTATATATATTATTCACGTAAAAATGTACGTTCCTATGCTCCGGCCGCGCTCACTTTGCATTTTATATATTCAAATTCCTTCGCGTTCCATACATTTCACATTCCATCGTCAAACGCGCCTTGATAAAGGCAGCCTTCATCTTGCCATTGTTCCGTTCCTTACACGTAATTTCTCACGCTCAAGACACAGATAATTGAAATTATTAGTATATAAAATTATCATACAAAACATATAACATAAACTGTATACAAATACAAAACATATCTGCAAACATACATACGGAGTGTTTACGAAATATTTGAACAAACTTCTAGGGCATATTCCTCACGTCAAAATAAAGACAAAAGTTTATATAAACTTATAATCAAATAAGAGTGGTTGCGAAATAATGAAACAAATACATTTTTAATAGATTTTATCTATGGGGACATTTAAAGCATTAATGCAACTTATTAATAACGTTAGCGCAACTTAATAACGAAGAGATGCTTCACCAACACATTATTAATGCTTGTGAGACTATACGTATTTCGTAAACACTGTATATATTTTATGTTACAATCTTCCGTCAGTTATAATCACATTTAATAATATATATATTTATAATATTAATTAATTTATGTATTTTAATTAATTTACGAATACGTGGGTCAAGAAATGTTATAGCAGCATCAAACTTACATGCGATTAAATTAAATCACCGCCACTTTTAACAAATTGAAGGCGATACTCTTGAGCTTGTGTACGCGTATACGCATAGGCGCGATAGGACCTCGTAAACGTAATCTATGTAGGCCAAACCGGTGGCCCGTGTCATAATCAGAAACCCGTATGATTGCCTCGTCCGATGACGAGTAATCAGTATCACCTTCGCGACAAGGTCTCGTCTCCCGCCATTTGCTTATCGCGGCTAGCGCTTGTCAACGCGAGCTGAGCGTTTTCCTTTCAGTAGTATCGTAGTAGTCACAATCCCCGGCGACTACGAGCGTGTCGGTGTTGCACAAAAGATGCTCGTAACCGAAGAGAACGAAACTTTATCTAGCTTTTTCAAGTTCCCTTGAAGTTAGGGCTCTGTTCGGGCTTGAAGTTAAGCACACCCTTGACTACAACGAATCGGCGAGCGAAAGAGGCGGGGCGATTGTATCGATCGTTATTAGGCTTTTATTAGACGGAAGTGTCGTCGGGTGCCTCGCAAAGGGTACATCTGCACGGGGGGTCGTGTTAACTTAAGTGAAAATACCACCTAGCGATCCGACCGAGGGAGACTGACCACCTCCTTCGGCTCGATTCTCGTGCTCGGATCTTTTTAGCGAGTATGATCGTGGAACTGGCCGAAAGAGGATCTTTCTTCGCACGCGAGAAACTATAAATTCTCCATCAAAATAAAAAATCGCGTCGCGCTTCTCGATTTTAAAAATACCAAAAGCATGAGGAATTTATATGTAAAATATAAAGAATTTATCGAAGAAAATTATTACGAAGAGGATAAAGAAAGAGAATATCAGATATCTGTGAATTATACATGTGCAATGAAGATAAATACGACGAGCTGTAAGAAAGTAATGCAACATCATGTATAAGCTATTTTTTCTCAAATCAAAGTACAAGGATGCAATTAATGGACGATATGACCAAAACCTGATAATAACAGAAACGGAAATCTTTCAATACCGGACCGGATATGAAACTATCGCGAAGATAGCGATATTCTCGACGTAACCGCAACATTTGTTTCAATATTTTATTTGTTTCGATATAACAAAATATTGTGTTCAAATCGTCGCGAACGACGAAAATATCAAGTGACTCTAGTGTTACTCGGAAAAATGAATTGAGTTCTTGATTTCCGCTGAAATAAAAGAGCCATTTTATTGAGTCTCTCTGGTCTATCAGTTTCTCAAGAGGGACGAGAAAAAAAAGATACAGAATGGAGACTCGAGCAAAGTCGACGGAATGGGCTTTATTGTTCCCTCTTAAGGCGGGTCTATTCGCTATGAAGTCATCGTTATCTTTGAAGAGCGTGAATCGTAGCGAGAAGGAGATCAAGGAGAGGTTTTCGAAGAAAAATTTTCAGCCGCGGGCAAAAATACGTCGAGGATCGTCCTTGTCCGATCTGGATAAGCTTCAGAGCAAGACGATCCTGCCGGACGTCGTAAAGTCGACGGTTAATTAATTTATGTATTTTAATTAATTTACGAATACGTGGGTCAAGAAATGTTATAGCAGCATCAAACTTACATGCGATTAAATTAAATCACCGCCACTTTTAACAAATTGAAGGCGATACTCTTGAGCTTGTGTACGCGTATACGCATAGGCGCGATAGGACCTCGTAAACGTAATCTATGTAGGCCAAACCGGTGGCCCGTGTCATAATCAGAAACCCGTATGATTGCCTCGTCCGATGACGAGTAATCAGTATCACCTTCGCGACAAGGTCTCGTCTCCCGCCATTTGCTTATCGCGGCTAGCGCTTGTCAACGCGAGCTGAGCGTTTTCCTTTCAGTAGTATCGTAGTAGTCACAATCCCCGGCGACTACGAGCGTGTCGGTGTTGCACAAAAGATGCTCGTAACCGAAGAGAACGAAACTTTATCTAGCTTTTTCAAGTTCCCTTGAAGTTAGGGCTCTGTTCGGGCTTGAAGTTAAGCACACCCTTGACTACAACGAATCGGCGAGCGAAAGAGGCGGGGCGATTGTATCGATCGTTATTAGGCTTTTATTAGACGGAAGTGTCGTCG